GAGAGGGGAGGGAATGTCAGGGGGAAAGGGGAAGGGTTTGAAGGAAGGAGTATAATGGACAAAAATTAGGGTGGGTGGAAATGGGAGGGAGGTGGGGAGGGCTGGGGGGTGGGCTGGGATGGGAGTAAAAGAAAATTGTACTTCAACAACAATTAAAATTTAAAAAATTTATTTTCCCTAAAATGGTGACATGAATGAATTATCCTATCTAAAACGGCACCCATCTTAAGGCTGGGTAATGCAGTTATATTTGGGCTTTGTCTTTTTATTTGTTTGTTTGTTTATTTTCCATCAGCAAAAATAGTACCGTGTTGTTTAGTGTGATTTCTGCTCTGCCCGTTTATCACCGTCTGTGTCCAGCAGGTCCTGCTGCTGCGTGTGTCTTCCTCGGGGGCGGGTTGTGGTGTTTCAGGGACCCGGGCAGGTGGCGGGCTTTCATCGTCAAACTTCCTCTTCTGAGCATAGTCGAGACATGGAATGTTACAAAGGTTTTAGGGCGACTTCTCCCCGAAAACCAGGACCGCTTGAACACGTGTTTCAGCTTGCACACGTGTTTCAGCTCGCACACGTGTTTTGTTTCCCTGGTGTGTCAGTGTGGACGGGCTGAGCCGTAGGGGCAGGGACCGGAGCCCGTTTGGAGGCAGCACGGCCGTGGGCAACACCAGGGTTCCGGGACCCTCCCTCCGGTCTGCACACCCTCCAGGGTTCCGAGTGCACCGGCGAAAACCATGTGGGCGGGAGGCAGGACAGACGGGGCCCCTGCATGGGCGGGGGTGGGGGGCAGCAAAGCTTGCTGTCGGCCGAGCAGCAGGTCAGAGCCCTGGCGGAGGGCGGGCGCTGGGCCTGGGGCTCCGGCCACCTGGCCGTCTGGCCGGCGACCACGTTCTGAGAAACGACAGGAACACGCAGGTTCGTCCGTCCCCCGTGAGTCCCGGCGGGACATGAGCCCCACGCGGTGTCTGTGAGTGGCCGAGCCACGGCCGGTGCTGGCGTGGACGCCACGTACTAGCACCTCATGGAGTGAAGGTGAGCCTGCCAGCCAGTTGGTTTATCTTCCTGGAAAAAAGGCCGGCGGGAGGTGAGAGTTACGGCCCCTAGGCACTGCATGGAGAGGGCTGACTGGCGCACGGCTCCCACGAAAACTGCTGTAAACATGCCCGCAGAGACTTTATCGTCACGCCACCACGTTAAAAACCGCGGTCCCTGCGCACGCCCCGATCGATGCCACGTCGAGGGAAGAGAGCGTGACCCGGGGGGCAAACCCCTCCACGGGGACCGTTGCTGTGCGCTCTCAGCACCAGGCGTCCCCGGTGGCCCCTCGCCCTTCCCCGCTGCGTGCATGCAGTGCGAGGGTGGGGGGGCCGCAGCTGGGCGGGTCACCCCGTGAAAGGAGGCCCATGTCGCCAGCTTAGCCCTTCGAGGAACTGCCTGTCCCCACGGCGGAGGCTTCCGGAGGCGTCTGTCCGGAGTGAGGGTGACCTCGGTTGCAGGACACAGGCCGCCGGTCCGACTCTTCCAGGAGAAACACAGTTCACGCCCCGGCTCCAGAGCCCAGGTGCGGTCCAGCCTCAGCTGTCCACGGACAACGGACGGGCTTCTGCGTCTGTGAGGCGCGAGGGGGACGCGCCGCCTGTGGCCTCCCTTTCCTCTCCCGGGTGGGGCCCTACTCGGGACCCCTCGCCGCGGAGGTGGGAGCAGCCGGCCCCTCCGTCCTGCACGCCGCCCGCTGGGCACCCTCGGCGTTTCCTGAGCGCTCGAGCCTGCGCAGGGGCAGGTCTCTCGCCGGCCCCCAGCACCACAGATGGGGACGGACGCGCTGCTGGTCTTCTCGCATGCTGTCCCCAGGGGCTGATGGGGGGTCCTGGAACCCCCACCGCAGGGCCCCCCACGCAGGCAGGCCGTGTTGTCCAGGGGGGAGGGGCGGAGCTGCAGGGATGTGGGGAGATGCTGGGCTAACCAGCACCCAAGACCTGCCCACGGTGGCCTCCCCTCTTGTTTTCGTTGACGCCTCTAAACTGTTCTGCTGACAGTGACGATAATTGCGTTAATTAGGGGACTGGCCCGGCAGAGGTAACAAAGAGGTTCCAGAGACACTGGCTGAAAGCAGAGAGAAGTTCCAGCTCCCGGTAATAAGGGGGCCCCAGTGCAGAGCCCCCCAGGGAACTCAGGGGAGGGGTGCCTTCCCTCACCCTCAGCACCGGTGCCCGTCGATGGCCAGCCGGGCGCACGGGAGGGGAGCTGGGTGGCCTGGGAGCTGCCAACAGCGTGTCTCCCGCTGTCCCTTTAGCCCTGGGGCCGCACTTGGCCACCGGCGGGACTGGAAGGTGCACACATGAGGTGGGTGGCCGTGGGCTCAGGAAGTGCCCCACGAAAGCCTTGAAGCAGAGAGCCGATCGCACTCAGCATCGTCTTAGCTCCGAAAGTCTCACTCACGTGCCGGTGGCCCTGACACCCCCTGGCTTCTTTAAATGAAATCCAGTGACAGCATCTGGTTTCACGGCCCCCCGAGGCTGCGTCCCACAGAGGGACGATCCGTGGCATAAGACGCAAGCTTCTCGCTCTTTATTTGTCCCAGGAGCACGGCCCTTAGGTTGGAACACACACGTCCTTTTGTTCGCGTGTTAAGGGGCCGGTCACCGGAGTGCCGACCGGCAGCTCAGCTCCGCCGCTGAGAGCCTCCCGGTCGCCGCGGGAGGGCGGCGGCCGCAGGTGGCTGCTCTGTGCCCCCCAGGTTCCCTCGGCAGCCCAGCCCGTCCCTCTCTCTCGGGGACGCCGCCAGCTGGCATGAAACCCCTGTCGGGCTGTGCGCATGGGACCCGCTAGACGGAAGTGGCATTTCCAAACTGCGGCTCTTCTGCTGCACGGTTTCTCCAGGAACGATGCCATGTCACCAGCTCCTGGGCCGGGCCGCAGGCAGCCCTGCCAGGGCCTCGCTCTGGGAGGGACACCGGCCGCGGTCCAGGCCCCGGCGGGCCGTAAATCAGCAGGGAAAGCCGGAAACGGCCCCGGGCCTGACGGCCTGCTCGTTTTTCCAGATGACCGGCCTGTCTCTCTCGGCTCCTGCTTCTGTGCTCGGAAGAGCCCCTTCCTCCCGTCCTTTTGTGGCCGGATACCGTATTTTTACTTCGAGTGGCCTCCCTCAGTTGGGAGAGATCAGCCCGCACCTTTCAAAGCTAAATACAACCCCACTCCCACAGGCCACGTAGGACTCTGGACTCCGCGGTGCCCAGGGCTCTGGTAGAGAGGGGATGGCCTGAACACGGGGCGGGAGGGGGTGGCCCACCCGAGGGGGGGGGGCCCGCAGCCCCAGCCTCAGGCGCTGTCTGCACGTCCCCTCCAGCTGACTGCCCCTGATAATTAGAAGTGCAAACCTGTCCTTGGAGGTAACGGCTAGGAGGCGGCGTGTTTCGGACGTGGAAATGGAAGTCATCCGCCCCCATTTTGCATTCCTTTAAAATGACATCCTTTCCTTGGCTCGAGTACTTTCCATCTTTCTCTCAAACACTGTTTTCCGCTCTCGGGTAAGGATTCGTCTCCCTCCCACTGTCCCTCCCTCCCTCCCCCCTTCCTTCTCCCTCACTCACGGTCTCCGTCTCCCAGCCCCGCCCCTGTCGTTCCGGTTCCCTAGGGGGGCTGGGTGTGTGGGGAGCAGCCCCCCAAGACCCTGCGCAGCCACGGGCTCGCCGCTGGGCTGTTGCCGCCCCCCCCCCCCGCCCACCACGCGGGGTCAGAGGCTCCGTGGAGAAGAACTGACGCTTCGTCCTCGCGCTGCAGGTGTGACGCCTTGCCGTCTGCAGCGCACGTTGGACGTTCGATTTAACCGGGAGCCACTGGCCTAGTGTGCGGAGCGTTCTGCTGGACCCAACACCCGGGACAGTGGCTGGTGCATAGTAGGTGCTCAGTTAACGTGTCTCGTTAGCGAGCAAAGCAAACAGACCGCAGAGAAAGGAGGACGCACGTCTGAGCGCAGCCCCCGCGGCGGGAAGCTCCCGGGACCCACGGGCTCCGTGCCTGCCCGGCCCCGGACATGTTCTCCTACAGACACCGTTTCCCTGTTGGGACGTCACTGGGGACCCCACCTCGGTTCCCAGTTCAGCGGCGGAGCTGGGGGGAGGGGGTGCTGCCTCGGGCCGTTCAGAAGCAGGGCCACCCCTGCCCTCCCCGGTGTCTGGGGTCTGCCCCGCAGCGGCGGGGAGAAGTGTGCCCACACAGGAACCGGCAGCACCGGGCTGGGCTGCGAGGGTAGCAATTAGGAAGATTTAGAAGCCCACTCATTCCTCCTCAGAAATTGTACTCAGCTGCTCCTGAAGCAGACTCCGGAGCCCCCGCCCCCCAAGGCGCGGCTGAGGGTGGCTGCACCCCACCCTCCAGGCGGCGGCTCCCAGCCCCAGCGCCCTTGCTGCAGGACGCCCCGGGGTGGGGGCGAGGGCAGGCCCCAGGTCCTCCTCCTCCTCACTGCCCTGCTGGAGTGGACCTCCCCTCCGTGTCCTCTCACCACCAAAAGGGGCCTGACAGCATGGTTTCGTAAGGCAGTATTGTGTGAAAAACTTGCAAAATCCGATCACGGTGACAAAAAAATGAAAGGGATATGTAAGTCATGTACGCAGCAAAAGACAGTCGCTTTTCCAAAAAACGGTTTTGGGATCCTGAAATAAAATGTACATTTCTGGGTGGCCCTGAGGAGACAGGGGCATGGCTTTTGCTTTGGGAACGGGCGCGCGGGGCCTCCCGCCCCAAACAGTGAATTAACAGAATTCAACAGCGTCGGGGACACCATGGTGAAATCACAGACCGTTAAGTATCCTGACAAAAATAAAATTTTAAGGTAACAGCGTAGGTGCCTGAATGTACGCGAGGAATAACTCGGCAGCCCGCGGAGGTAGGCAGCCTGTCGTAATTACGCGCGAGCCCCACCGCGCCTCCGCCTCCGCGCGAGGAGGGGAGCTAAGGAATCCGCCGCGGGGCCGGCGGCACCACGCCCTCCGGCGAGCGGCGGCGCGACCGGCTTGGCCCGCGCGTCCGGGATCCGCGGCGCCGAGCCGCACCGCCCGGCGGGAGGGGCTCCGCGCAAACGTGCCTCCGCGCTCCGAGCGACCTGGAGCCCACCTCCTCCGGCCGCGGACGTGACAGGGACGGTCAAAGTTTGCTCTCCGTGGCAGCCGAGCCGTGACCGCCCCCGTCCCGCGGGAGGGAGCGAAGGGAGGCGGCGGCGCAGACGCCGGCGCAGCGGCGGCGCGAGCAGCCGGCGCGGGAGGGCGTGGAGCCGAGCGAGCCCGAGCAGGTTCCGCGCCCGCGGCCACAGCCCGCGCTGCCGGGGACTCGGGGTTCGCGCGCCGGGACCCGGGCCAGCGCGTCCTCTCCCGCTCCCAGCCGGACCCCCGGAGAAGGGCCCAGCGGAGCCGGTGCCACAGGCGACGCAGGTGGGTCCGAGGTGAGGCGGTCGGCAGGTGTCTGCCGCGCCCCGGGTCGCCCAGCTCGCCGGCCAACTCTGGGTGGGACGCAGGGAGGGCTCAGGGTTGGCTCCAGGGCGGGGGTGGGGGGTCACCCCACTGTGGCAGCAGAGGGTGCGCGGCGGGGGCTCATTGTAACCCCAAGATCTTCAGTCCCTCCCGGGAGGGACACCGCTTCCCAGCCGAGCCCTCGGGGGCTGAGGGGCATCCGGACGGCTAGATCCGTCGGGGGAGGCGCCGGGTCCCTGCGTGCTCCCAGCTCCCACTTTCCCCGCCTGGCCAGGGTCCGGGGGACCCTCGGGTCGCCCCCGCCCTCCCGGAGGGTCCCGGAACCCCCCGCCCCCGAAAGTCGAGCCCTGTCTCCGGGGGCCCGAGGTCCCTCCGGGTTTGCATCAGTCTGGGACCCGCCTCACCCCTCCCGGTCCCGACCGCCTCTGGGTTCGCGGGGCGCAGCCCCCCAGCCCTCGTATTCCTCCCACTCGGGACAGGAATCCAGGTCCCCGTGGGGTTCCGCACACGCTGCCAGCTTGAGGGGGGTGCTCTGGACCGCGGGGTGGGGAGGAACCGGGTGCGGGGGCCGGCGGGAGCCCCGCGGGGAGGAGGGCTGGAGACCGTGGTTGCCATGGCTCCCGGGACCGACCGGGGAGCTGGAGATGCCGGTCACGCGCGCCCCCTCCTCTGGGTGCCCCTCCCGCGGCCCCGTCTCCCTCCTCCTCCCGCCTTTCCTCCCCCCCCCTTTCCCGAGCGCGGGGGCGGGTGCGGGTTCAGTGATTAATTCAGAGAGCGGGGATTGGAGCGGGAGGCCGCCCGCCGCGCAGCCCCGCAGCCCCGCTCGGTCCGGGGCCGAGACTCCCGAGGACGCCGGGGGCAGGCGCGCGGGGTCCAGGTAGCCGCCCCGGGCCCCGCGCGGTGGGTGGGGGTCGGGCCGCGCGCTGTGGGCGGGGACGGGTGGGGGCGGTGGCGGCACGGGGCGGGCCAGCGGGGCAGCGCCGGGCGGCGGACCTGCACCCGGCCCGGGCTCCGCGTCCCGCCCCGCCCGCCCGGGGAGCGGCGGAGGAGCCGGCAGAACCGGCGGGGACCCCTGGCACGCGCGTGCGCAGTCGCCCGCTCCAGGACCCCGGGCGCGGGGTGGCGGTGCGCGTGCGCGCGGGGTGGCCAACTCGGGAGCCACCTGGGTGGGTGCCAGGACGAATCCGGGCGTGGGTTCCGGTTCCAGCGCCACCGCCTGCGATGTGTGGTTTGGCAGGAGCGATCTCGTGACCCCGTGCCTCAGTTTCCCCTTTTCAGTAACAGGGGTAATGTCGGTCCCTTCCTTAGGGGCGGTCGCAGGACTGGAATGAAGTCCTCCGAGGAGGTGGTCCCACCCGGTTGCCTGCCGCGCACTAAAGTTGGTTATGGTTGCGGGCCCCGTTACTGTTATTATTAGTTATTTTTCAGTTCAGTGAGATACAGTGTCCTTTCTCTGCGTGGGTATTGCAACCAGACCACTCTGCTTTCTAATCCTCTTGGATACCAGTGAGTATTATTCGCGTTGCTGCGCAGGCCACCTCCTCCCAGCCTGTGCTGCTGCAGGGACAGACCGACCCACTGCGGGTCAGTGTGTGGGCGGCAAAGCGAGCTCCCGGGGCCCGGGGGGCCTGGCTGGGTGCCCGGCTGGTTACAGTGTCCTCCTGACACGCCAGGGTTGCGGGTTCCATCCCCGGTCAGGGCGCATACAGGAAGCAACCAATGAGTGCATGTATCAGTGGAAGAACAAATCAATGTTTCTCTCAAAAAGACCAATATTGTTTTTCTAAAAGAAAGCTACTTGGGGAAACTCAGTGACAAGAGAACAACTGTCGATGCCGGGCTTTGTGCATGAGGATTCGAGTTTCCTCTGTCGCTCCTGCGGCTGCCGCAGGGTTGGTCCCGGCTCCCGTCCCTGCGGTGCGGCGCCTGTGGCCTTCGGGACCCGACGTGGTTCTGGGGCCTGGCGTGTCACCCAGCGCCCCGTGTCGTGGCCGCGAGTGCCGCGGTGGCCTTGCCTCCAGTGACAGCGGAGTGCGAGCTCTGAGCACCCGCAGGTGCTCCGTGGAGAGGAGCGGTCGTCTGTGGGCGGGTGTGGCAGGCAGTCCCTTAGAAGTCACTTTCCGGCATGTTCTGCCCACCGCACAGCACAGGCGCAGGACCCCAGGGACCAACGCGTGGGCTGCCCCCTGCTCCGTCTGCGGCCCGGGGGTCCTCCTCTCGGGAAAGGACGTTTGTGGCCACCTCCAGGCTGTGTAGGGCTCCAGCTCGCCGGGCGGCTACCGCCAGGGACGAAGCTGCGAGTCAGATGTCGCGCAGGACACTGGTGTCCAACGAACTGGCTTTAAGATGATTTCTTTGAAAAGAATCCGTTGCTGACATCAGGTCTGAAGCAATGACAGCCAGACAGGAGTCTCCGCCATCAGCTCCCGGCCTCAGGAGGCCGAGCTGGCCTCGGAGAGTGTTTGCTGGACGGAAGGTCCGCTCCCCGGCTCATGCCCTCCAGCCGCGGCGGAGGGAGGCGGCCGGGCCCACAGCCTCTCTGTCCAAGTGATGAGGCTGATTTATTTATCTCTGCGGAGACCTGAGTGAGAGCCCCGGCCGGGGCCATCGGGGGGCCCAGCCAGCCTCACAGGGGGCCGCCGCGCAGCGGGGAGGGGGCCCCGGCTCAGGCCGGAGGGGACGCGCGTGGCCAAGCCCCGTGGGCATCCGCTCCCGGAGCAGAGTCTGCCTCCAAGCCCGGCTTCCCGGCGACAACGCCCCTCCTTCCCCGAGACTCTGCCGCCCGGAAGAGGGACCGCGGGGGCTCCGGGTGACAGCTTGCCTGACGCGCACACGGGCACTGGCGTGTTGTCTGCCGGGAGCACTGGCGGCGCGTGTCACTCGCTGGGAACGATTCTGGCCTCTGACTCTCTGCCACCTGCGGTGCCCGGGGGGGGGGGTGATGTGTTTCGAGACGAAAGTGGAGCCGCTCCATGCTGTGCGTTTGCCCTAAACCTCTGAGCAGCCATGACACGGGAAGCCGGTGAGGCCAAGGACGTGCGGGGGGACAGCAGAAGGCCGTGGACTCCCGGGGGTGCGGGGCCACCGGCAGGCAGGGGTGAGACCCAGAGGCCCAGACCGCCCCACGGGAAGGCCCTTCCGGCCGGTGCTCCCCGGGACCGGACCCCGTGGGCCCTCCCCGTTATTGTTTCAGAGGCGGACGGGGGTGCGCTGCCTTCTCCATTGTCAGCGTTTTGATTGCAGCTGCGTTCGCACCAGCTCAGTCTGAGGAGAATGCAATTACTACGGTGATTTACATACAATATGCCAAGTTAACCCAGCTAATGAGCGAACGCACCAGATCCTTCCTCTGGTTCCTGGAAAAACACCCAGCTGAGCGTCCTTTCAAAGGCAAGGCCCCGGGATCCGCCAGCGCCGCGCCCCTCCCTCCCCGCGAGGAGAGCGGGCGCATTCGCTCAGCTGTTCAAGGCGAACCTTTCGGGTTCTGGCTGTCTCGTGCCTCCCCCCACTTGGGGGGAGGGGGAGTGAAAGGGGGAGGAGGGAACCAGTTCTCAGTTTAACCAGAGATGCTGCGCCTTGGAGGAGAGACTGTGTTTCCTAGTTCCGTGGGCCGGTTAACACCTTAAACACCACTCGTCACCGCAGTGCATTGCACCCGCGTCGCCACAGCGCAGTTAGTTAATTATAGCTCTCTCATTAGCGCCGTGGAGAGAATAATGAATTAACAGGCCCCTCTGATGAAAAGAACATCCAAGTTTATCTTCTGAGAATAAGAGTGTTATTGTGTCGCCCCAAGTCACTGTAATTTTCCCAAGAAGCGGAGCGGGTGGAGCGCCCCAGCGCCGGGGCGGGCGGCCTGGTGAATGAGCGGATTGATCACGGCCGGGAACAGGGCCGCGGTTGCCTGGCAACCTGACATTATTCCGCGGGTTCTCCTGGCGTATTTATCCGGGAAGCCAGAAAATTCTGTTTTGTTAAGGAATGTTTTCAGTCGGCGCACAAATAGACCCTAACTAATTGAGATTTTATGTGTTGTGGGTAAAAAATGATCCCGCGTACCTGCCCCTCTGCCGAGGCAGCGAACACCCGAGGAGAAAGCACGTTCTGTTTTCGGTTTTTATACATTTATTTCCCCCATAAACGTGTTTACTTCCTTTCCCCATTGGTTTGTCCCTGCCAGGGGGTCGCGACGGGTGCGTCCCGCTGGGAGCCGAGTTTCCAGGAGTCTGTGCAGGTCGCCCGAGTCCGCTCACAGCTCCTCGGGAAGAGCCCGAAACGGGGTTGTTACCGGGGCGAAGTCCTCCAAACCCCGTGTGCCGGGGGCACTGGCAAGGACTGGGACGTGCAGGGAGAGGCGTCCGGTCCGGAGGGAGCTGGGAGGTGAGGACAGGCTTGGCTGGCCCCGCCTGGGAGGTGGCCGGTGCCGGGACGCTCACTGCCCCTGAGCCCGGTTCTCCTGCGGCTGCGGCCCGCGGCCTCTCGCTGCCCCCTGGCTTCCCAGCGGGCGCCGGGCCAGCCCCTGGCGGCCTGTTCCCCCAGCCCCCTCTCCCTGACCCCCGGACCCCGGTGCACCCTTTTCCCACTCGGCCTGTGAGTGTCAGCCTGCGTCACACTCCCCTCCTCCTCAGGTGGGGTCGCCCTCGAGGGAGCGTTTGAAGCATCGCAGAAACTCCTCTGGTTTCTGGGGAGCAGGGTCAGAGGCCCCGGGGGGCCCAGCGAGCCTGCGGGGTTCTAAGGCCACGTCTGCGGACGCCCCTGGGTGTGGCCCTGGCTGGGCCCCCCGGAAATGAGGGGTGGTAGTCGTACCCAGCTCGTGGGCATTGTTGTGGGTGTGGAGTGGGGCGGTCTGTGCAGACGGCTCAGCGGACGTATTAGGCACTCAGTTAATTCTGTCTTTGCTTGTCATACTTACTCTCCTCCCATTCCGTGCTGTGGGCGAGTGGACAGAGGTGTGTGTGTGTGTGTGTGTGTG